CCTCACTGGCGATAGGAAACCCTAGGCCGCCATGGGCATCTTCGACAACAATGGCAAGGGCAGGGGCACCCCCGGCGCCTCGTCCTTCCGTGCTCCCCCTCCTCCTCCACCGCCGGTGCGTTTTTGCCCTGAACGTCGGTGCCTGCACATCCCGGTGCACCAAGCGCGGTGGCACTAGGAGTACAGGCAGCCCCTCCCCTACCCCGACGTGATGCTGCCGCACCATTGGCACTTGGATCCCCAGCAGATTTCGATGCCGGCGGTTCCATGGAGCCAGCGGGCGCACGACGACGATGACGAGGTGCTGGCGCCGCGCACAGCTCACGCCGGAGCAGCGACGACTGCCCGAGTACGCCGCCGACTCTCCCAACTGGGAGGCTTGGTTCGCCCTCGAACACGAGGAGCAACGACGCTCGGGTGTCGATGCCGTCCCACCGCTGTTCCCACCGCCGCCCCCGCAGGTACAGCCGAAGGACGAGGAGGCGGAGGCGGAGTACCAGGCCGCCCTCGAGGAGGCCCTGCAGCAGGCGTTGGAGGCTAGCCGCCTCGAGGAGGATGCGCGCTGGGATGGGCTGGAGCAAGCCCTCGCCCTATCGGCGGCGGGGGACACCGTCCACTTCTCGCCGTTCGTGCCGCCACCGCCACCGTCGTCGCCCATCCAGCCCAAGCCGGAGCCGGAGCCGACGCGGAAGCGCTCCCCAACTCCACCCACATGGCCGGAGGAGGCCTACTCGTGGACGGGTCAGTACCGCGAGTGGGTGAGCGCGCCCCCGTCCACTTCGCCACGACGCCGAAGCAGGAGGCCGCCCACCTCGAGCGCTGGAAGGCGCACTGGCTCCGCCAGGAGCAGGCCGACAGCAAGCAGCATATGCGCTACGAGGCCATGCTCCAGCGCGATGCGGAGGCGCTCCGGCTCGAGGAGGAGGAGGAGGAGCGCGCGCGGCTAGCCGCAATGCCGCCACCCCAGCAGACGCCGGAGGAGGCTACCTTGGCAGCGTACCAGGCGGCGTTCAGGTGGGCAGGCCCTGCTCCCGTCTTCATCGACCTCACCGGCGATGGCGACGGCGGCGTCGACGCCAAGGGCAAGTGCAAGGCCGACGACATTTAGGGCAACGTGCGGGGCGGCAGAAGGTGGGCGCAGACTTATTTTTTAATGTTTTAATTAATGTTTAATTATGTTTAAGTGGACTTTGGCCGGCGTTTGACCGGCCACTTATGTTTAATTATGCTTATTTAAAGTTTATTTCGTGCGATCATTTTTTTTTGCATGCCGGCACATTTGGGTTTGCCCCCTCGTTGGACGGCCAAGCCGACCCATTTCAGAATGCGGACGCGCAGGTCCGCCTGACCAACCCAAACGGACGAGAAGCGGACAAAAATGGTGTCCATTCGGGTCGGCATGTTGGAGTTGCTCTTATGTCCTTCCCAAGTTTATTTTTTTCATATGCCTGTAGATAATTATTTAGATATACAATTAATTAATTGGACATGTAGTAAATTATGTCAGCAATTAATTAATTATGCAAACAATTATTAGCGTCGAATGAATTTGAAAGCGCTCGAGGGCGAGTACAACCAGCAGGCTCTCGTTGATGTTGGCGACGACCGGTAGGCTCTCAACGGCATGGCTGACCAGGCGTTTGACAAGATGGATGACAACCATGCTTTATAGGACATCGACACGCGATGGTTGCCGAAACGTTCGCGGGCAAGGACAACAGGCGGTCGAGGATGAGGTCGACAGTCATGCGCTCGACGGCTCGAGGACAACCAAGCGCTAACGGTCGACGACTCTGACCATGGCTTCGACGACGACGGTGACAACCGAGAATGATCAGTCAGATGCCACCACTTGTTAAATATTGTTTTATCCCGTAGTAAGGCACGTGTATTTAGCTAGTTAATACATAAGCTTTTAATGCATCAGAAGCAGGACCACAATAAAGAAATAATGAAGCTTTGCATGATATCACATTTTTATTATTACAACTATGGAGATAGTAACATAGACTAGGGTCATGTTATGTTACCAGTGTAAGAGCATCTCTAACAAACTCTTTAAAAGCGCGTAAAATGTGCGGATTTGACCCGTTTTTTAC